CCGAGTAGTGGCGGAAAATATGCATAATTTGAGAAGCGCTAAATTAGCCTTTTGAAATGAAAAAAAGTGGTAAATAAAATTTCTTTTTTTCCAGTAAAATCGATACGAATGCATTAATGACAGTGTATCTGAAATATTTTCAATGTAAAAGAGCAACTTGGCATAAATCCTTTAATCTAAAGGCAATGAATGACCTTGATCTTGAAGCGAGGTCATTGGCGGTGATCAAGCAGCATAATTTAGTTATCTAATTGACGATAAGTGATCAAGATGAGTAGATGTCGGATTATACAGATTTTTCTGAGTGTCAGGACCACTGATCAATGTCGTAATTCGGAATACTCAGAGTGTCGGAGTAAGAAGGAAATCAATCGAGACAGAAGATGTCGGATTATGCAGAATGTCGGAATACTCAAATGTCAGATTTCACATAGTACACTGTATGTATTAATGAGAGTAAATTTCAAATTTGTCTATGTAGATGAGACCCTTTTAGTGTGAATTTGATGATACCTTATTATATATCTTTGATAATTTTAGACACAGAGGATGCTTCTAGGTTATTGCTATAGGTTATAACTGACCCTATATTGATGAGATATTCAGGGTTTTTTTAAACTACAAATGCATAATGAAGATCTTCAATAAGAGAAATTTGGTATTATTATGAAGATCTTTAATATATTCAATAAAGATTTGGTTATCATCTCTGACAGCTGCCAGTGGGCGTATGTTACTTTGCCTGGCAAGCTATCTTTTAGCTATTCTTCATTTAGTGAACCGACTGTTTTACATGATTTTTATATGCCCACATATCTCTATGTGGACGTATATTGTCGGCAACCCTGTCCATCCGTCCGTCCGTCAACATTTGCTTGTAAACGCTATAAAAACTAGATTTTTTGATAGAATCAAATGAAATTTGGTAGATTTTTGATGGAATCAAATGAAATTTGGTGAAATTTGGTAAATTTTTTGATGGAATCAAATGAAATTTGGTATGTGTATACAAATTCATAAAACGAAGATCAAGTTCGAATTTGAGCTATTTTCGAACGTTAGAAGCAGAGTTATTGCCCTTGCACCAAAATCTTGAACATGCTAATTACTCTCTTAGTTTTCAACCGATTTTGATGAAACTTAAAATGGATGTTAATGGACCTAAATCGAAAGGTTTGAGGAAGTTTAGTTTACTTCTGATTAAATTTAAGGTTTTTTCAAGATATAGGCCTCTTACATCAGTTTTGAGGAGTTATCGCCCTTTGACCTCTATCCAGTAAGTGCTTCTATCAACATCAATTGCTCGTAAACACTCTAAAAACTAGAGTGTTTGAAGGAATCAAATGAAATTCGGTATGTGCATACATTTTTATGAAACGAAGATCAAGTTCGAATTTGATTTCGAGGGAAGGGAGGGTTTGATTCTCCCAAATGTACAGGCCTAGGGTGGAGCAGACACTTTATTTAGAAATTAGGATTAAGGGTCTTGATATTAGGTTTTCTTCTGTTCTTATTCTGATCTGAAATTAGAAAAAATAACTCGCCCAATGGGCGAGAAGTATGGTATCTGTTATGTACTGATTGTTTTTAGTTTACTATGAACAATATTATCATTTAAGTTCTTATTTTTTGAATATGCAACTATCATTTTCTGCTTATAGACATGGGGGAATTTCTCTTGAAGGCTCTTATAGTGGGCATGAACTATCTTGCTTGCTCGATTGCTGGTTGTATTAAACAAAGGGTGCTATGCCTACATTATGATGAATATTTAGTCCTATAGGTCTTACTGTATTCAATGTCTCAATTCAATGGGCTTCCCTAGATTGATGGAATTTGGTGGTTTCATATTCGGGCAAGTCAATTTCTATACGCTCAATTGGGATTAGGGTGAGATCATCTATTGAATGGTCGTCGAGGTTGAAATGATTAGAAACAGGCTTGTCTTTCTTTAATTTGATGTCTGACCTATGAGCATTAAAGCGAGTTTGTAAATTATTCTTAGTTTCTCCTACATATTGTTTGGGGCATTTCTTGCATGAAATTAAATATATCACATTCGAATGTTCACATGTTAGATGTTCCTGGATCGGGTACCTTTTATTCGTAGAGTTGCTTACAAAATAATGAGTTTCTGATATAATGGGACATGTTTTGCATCTACTGGACAAACATGGAGCACTTCTTAAACCTGGAGGTACTTCGGCATAAAGGCTGTTTTTAGCTACTATCTGAGCTAAGGTGGGATTTTTTATGTTTCGTAAAAATCGTTAAGAGGACCCACGCTCTTTCAGTTTTGAGAAAACAATCGTACAGGCTTGGTTGAAATCAGAAGATCTTGTACAAATTCGATGAAATCGTAAAACTTGTGACTTAATTATACCAGAAAAGGTATGTTTTGGGTGAAAGGAGTTGTGCAAGAGTTGATGAGTATCAGTTTCTTTGAAATACACTTTAATATCCAGTTTATTTGTTTCTGCTATGGAATCTCCCTTAAAGACTGTGGTATCGAGAAAGTCTATGCTTTTGTCACTCACGTTTGCGGTTAGTTTGATAGAAGGATGGTGGTTGTGGAGAATTTCAAAGAATTCCCAAAACTGTTCGATAGAATAAGTCCAAACCATAAAAATGTCATCCAAAAGCGTCCGTAAAAAAGTGGGTCAAATGGACAGAGGGGCAACACCTCACGTTCCCACTCTGCCATGAAAAGGTTTGCGTACGAAGGGGCGAATTGTTTGCCCATTGCTGTCCCTGAAGTTTGTAAATATGTTTTACCATTAAATGTGAAATCGTTTCGACTAAAACAAATCTCTAAAAGCTGTAGAATTGCATTGTCAGGTCTGTTTGGATCTGGGTTTCTATTAAAAGCTTTACGAACTGCCGTTAAACCAGTAGTGTTATCGATATTGGTATACATAGAAGAAACGTCGATAGAAATTAAAATAGCATTAGAGGGAATTAGAAGATTTTTTATTTTATTGACAAAATCGGTTGTGTCTTTAAGGTAGGCGCGATGTTGACATGCTAGAGGTAGTAAGAAATGATCAATGTATTCTGACACTGCATATGACTCACTACCACAGTCAGATATAATCGGGTGGCCTTTAGGGATTTTATTCTAGATAAACCACTCCTTGGTTGGATTCTTATGGATTTTAGGCAAAGTGTACAAATGTCTCTCTCGACAATCAGGTTTGGCAGACATATAGTAATATTGTTTCTGTTTGAGATAACTAGTTTTGACTAAATCGGCAAGAATATTGTTAATCGTGTTAGCAGTTTCTTTGAAAATTGGTTTCGGTAAATGGCATAATGTTTAGGATTATTCAGTTGATTCTCTGCTTTTGAAACATAATCCTCCCTATTCAGAATGACACAACATGAACCCTTGTCACTCTTTTTAATAACAATCGTCTTTCTTAAGTAAGTTTAAAGCTTCACGTTCCACTCGTGTGAGATTAGGCTTTTCGTGTGTTATGGAAAGGTTCACTGTTTGGCTATTCATACTCACAAATGATTTCAATATTTCAGGATGGATGGCGGCCTGAGGGGGTGTCCACGTGGATTTAGGAATAAACATTGTTCTAGCACCGCGTGGGTGGTTTCGAAAAAAATATGTGCAGCTAAGATTTCGTTGAAATCGTTCAATGGATGGTCGGAGATAATTCAAGTTAGCTATCTTTGGTGTGGGAATAAATTTAAGTCCACGGTCTAAGATTAATGCTGAAGGGGTGTGAGAATTTTGCGGCTCAAGTTAACTACAGTTTGGCCTAGCGGTGGCCTCTCAGTATTTTTATCCCCAGTAATTAGTTTAAAGACTTACTCGATGCTTGAAGCTGGTGTATCCAAAACAAATAAATGCTGTTTGCTGTTTCTGGAGACCAATGAAGATTATCAACTGGTTCGAATTCTTCTTCGTAGGGTGGTAAGATTGTCGCGCTGTTGATACTGGACTCCATCATCATGTTGTTGAGAGTGCGAAGGTTCTGTTGTGCTTTGTTCTAGATTTTATTTGAAATGGGTATACATGTGAAGAGGATGGAGTTTGGAAAGGTTTTGTTGGCTGAGGCCTACAAATCATTTGTTGAAGTTATTGAATATGAGAAAATTTTTATTTTAGTATCTTAGTGACCCTTTGCATTTCTTATATCTGCCAGTGGGCGTATGTTACATTGCCTGGCAAGCTTTCCTCTTTAATTTGATAAAAAATAAATTACAGATAATAAAAATTAAGAAAATAGTTAATACAAATTTTGTTCATTTATGTTGATTATACGCAGTTATCATGTTTGATCAACCAATTTTGATAAAACTTTGTTTGATTAGTGAAATGGATGGGTATTTGAATAGGACAATATTATTGTCACCTTTTACCATGACAATTCACAAATTTCAGCCTTTTATAACATTTTACAGAAATCTTGTTGAAAATTTTCCTGTATGTCACATGAAAGCCTGGCCTATACCTAGTTTCTGGACAAAAATTCAATATATCATGAACATGAAAATCTTGAGGAAGCCAAACTGAAAGTTGAACGCTACATTTTATCAACATCAACGACAATTTTTAGAATTATCTTTCTGCATGAAAATCTTTCATCAACTCTGAAAATGCAAGAAAATGCAATTTCAGACATCAAATTCAAAATCCAGATGAAACATTTGTCATAAATAGGCATGCAAAAACCCCAAAAGGAAATGAGGAAGAAGGACTACATATTATACAATCATTTGCATGAAATGTTTTAGTGGACTGTGTCCATATATAGTGAAACATTTTTTAGTAGTTACCCTTTACTAAAGCTCAAAATCTCTTATGAACACAAAAAACAAAACAAAAGAAGCTCAATTTCATTAGATTGTGATAAAACCTGGTATGATCATTAGAATTGAGAAAGTTCAAAATCAAGATCCTGTTAAACAGTGTTAATAAAAGAGATTTTGACTTTACTACTTCTTAATGTCTTCGACAAGTAAGATTTGATATTTATATTTTACAGTTCAGTTATGGATGGAATGGTATTGCCATTACAAGAGAAATTAGAAGATTGGAAAAAAGTTGTGGTACAATTAGATAGAGATCATTGTAAAGGTATGTAACATCTATCTAAACATGAGTTTGACACCACCCTTCAGAATAACCTTTCTGTATATCAAGGGCAGTAAATCAGTAAATATTTGTCAGATGGTGCTCAGATTTGAAGTCATCTAACATCTCATTGATATAAAGGAAAATATTTAATCTGATAAACAGTAAAATTGTGGGAGCCGAATTTTGAATTTCGATTTTGCTTTTTATACGCCCACATGAATATGTGGTCGTAAATTGTCGTCGCCCTTGTCGGTCGGTCAGTCGGTCCGTCAACATTTCTTGTGAGCACTATAATTTTTATCTGATTTTGATAAAACTTGGTGTGATGCTTTAGATTGATAAGATCTCGGTCAAGTTCGAATTTGACATATTTTCGATGAACGGTTTTTGAGATATTGCCCTTGACTTTGAACGCCTTGAAATTTGTTAAAAATTGTTCGTGAGCAGGATTGAAGCTACAGTTTTCATCCGATTCTGATGAAACTTGGTGTGATCATTGGAATTGATAAGATCTGGGACAAATTCTAACTTGACGCATTTTCGATGAACGGTTTTTGAGTTAATGCCCTTGACTTTGTTAAAACGCGTCGAAATTTGTTAAAAATAGTTCGTGAGAAGGATTGAAGCTACAGTTTTCTACCGATTCTGATGAAACTTGGCGTGATCATTGGAAAATAAGATCTCGAACAAGTTCTAATTTGACGCATTTTTGATGAACGGTTTTTGAGCTATTGCCCTTGACTTCATTAAAACGCATCAAAATTTGTTAAAAATAGTTCGTGAGCAGGATTGACGCTACAGTTTTCAACCGATTCTGATGAAACTTTGTGTGATCATTGGAATTGAAAAGATCTCGGACAAGTTCTAACTTGACGCATTTTCGATGAACGGTTTTTGAGTTATTGCCCTTGACTTTGTTAAAACGCGTCGAAATTTGTTAAAAATAGTTCGTGAGCAGGATTGAAGCTACAGTTTTCAACCAATTCTGATGAAACTTGGTGTGATCATTGGAATTGATAAGATCTCGGACAAGTTTTAATTTGACGCATTTTCAATGAACGGTTTTTGAATTATTGCCATTGACTTTGTAAAAACGTGTCAAAATTTGTTGAAAATAGTTTGTGAGCAGGATTGAAGCTACAGTTTTCAACCGATTCTGATGAAACTTGGTATAATCATTGGAATTGATAAGATCTCGGACAAGTTTTAACTTGACGCATTTTCGATGAACGGTTTTTGAGTTATTGCCCTTAACTTTGTTAAAATGCGTCAAAATTTGTTAAAAATAGTTTGTGAGCAGGATTGATGCTACAGTTTTTAACCGATTCTGATGTAACTTGGTGTGATCATTGAAATTGATAAGATCTCGGACAAGTTCTAACTAGACGCATTTTCGATGAACGGTTTTTGAGTTATTGCCATTGACTTTGTTAAAATGCGTCGAAATTTGTTAAAAAAAATTTGTGAGCAGGATTGACCCTACAGTTTTCAACCGATTCTAATGAAACTTAGTGTGATCATTGGAATTGATAAGATCTCGGACAAGTTCTAACTTGATGCATTTTTGTTGAACGGTTTTTGAGTTATTGCCATTGACTTTGTTAAAATGCGTCGAAATTTGTTAAAAATAGTTCGTGAGCAGGATTGAAGCTACAGTTTCCAACCGATTATGATGAAACTTGGTGTGATCATTGGAATTGATAAGATCTCGGACAAGTTCTAACTTGATGCATTTTTGTTGAACGGTTTTTGAGTTATTGCCCTTGACTTTATAAAAACGCGTCAAAATTTGTTCGTGAGCACAATAGAAGCTGCAGTTTTCAACCGATTTTGATGAAACTTGGTGTAATCATTGGAATTGATAAGATCTCGGACAGTTCTAACAAGAGATATTTTTGATGAATAGTTTTTTAGTTATTGCCCTTGACTTTGTAAACATGCGTCAAAAGTTTTTTTTTGCCCTTGATTAGAGCTGTGTGATTTAATTGTTTGTTGTATTTGGGTTATTGATATTGATTTTTAAAAATTTTGTGGAATTATTCAGCATAAATAATTTCTTTAATAATAGAAAATTCATACTTTTGTCACTAAAGACTGTTTTATTATTTCTGACAGCTGCCAGTGGGCGTATGTTATCTTGCATCGCAAGCTATCTTTCATTTTGATTAAGACCTACCATGATTTGTCACCATTATCACACACATATATACATATTCATGTTCATTGTTAGACATGTGGTTGTTGTATACTGTTGTTTGTATATTTTTAATAAACTTAATCACATCGCCAATTAGAGAATCATTTGCATTATTGATAATCAAACATTGGAATTTTTGCAGTTCAAATTATTCAAATTATTTGGTGCTTCTGTTTTATTTTCAGAATACAAGAAAGCAAAACACGAAATAAAGAAAGCTTCCTCTGATACAGTCAGATTACAGAAAAAGGTGAAAAAAGGTAAATTTTAAATTTTTTTGGCAATTTATCTTTTTGAATGTTTACCCATGTGCTGTGGGATAGAGTATCCATATTATTTGGACCAGTAAAAAACTTTGTGAAATGGTTTGTGTTTCTTTTATTTTATTGAAAATATAAAATGGGTGAGATTATATTGGCATTGGGTCGTCCTCAATTGCTCGTTTGAAGATATTCTAGAATGAGTTACTACCCTTGTTCTTGAAATGCATGTAAACACTCATGAAGGCACAATTCTTGAAGGATTATGATGAAACTTGGTATGAGTGTTTATCACCCTAGGATGAACCCTATTGAAAAATCGAAAAATAGTAGTATGAGTCATTGCCATTGTTTTTTGAAAAGTTTAGTCTGTAAACACTTTAGAAGGCTTAATTCGGATTTGGACAAAACTTGATAATCTAGGTCAAGTTCGAAATTGGTAATAATGAACTGTTAATATGTAGTTATTGCTTATAGATACGATAGAAACTACAGTTTTTATTATACGCCCACATGGATATGTGGTCGTATATTGTCGTCGCCCCTGTATGTCGGTCAGTCGGTCAACATTTCTTGTGAGCACTAAAGAGACTACAGTTTTTATCTGATTTTGATAAAACTTGGTGTGATGCTTTAGATTGATAAGATCTCGGTCAAGTTCGAATTTGACATATTTTCGATGAACAGTTTTTGAGATATTGCCCTTGACTTAGAACGCCTTGAAATTTGTTAAAAATTGTTCGTGAGCAGGATTGAAGCTACAGTTTTCATCTGATTCTGATGAAACTTGGTGTGATCATTGGAATTGATAAGATCTCGGACAAGTTCTAACTTGGCGCATTTTCGATGAACAGTTTTTGAGTTTTTGCCCTTGACTTTGTTAAAACGTGTTAAAATTTGTTAAAAATAGATCGTGAGCAGGATTGACACTACAGTTTTCAACTGATTCTGATGAAACTTGGTGTGATCATTGAAATTGATAAGATCTCGGACAAGTTCTAATTTGATGCATTTTCGATGAACGGTTTTTATACGCCCACATGAATATGTGGTTGTATATTGTCGTCACCCCTGTCCGTCGGTCCGTCCGTCAACATTTCTTTGAGCACTATAGAGACTACAGTTTTTATCTGATTTTGATAAAACTTGGTGTGATGCTTTAGATTGATAAGATCTCGTTAAAGTTCGAATTTGACATATTTTCGATGAACGGTTTTTGAGATATTGCCCTTGACTTAGAACGCCTTGAAATTTGTTAAAAATTGTTCGTGAGCTGGATTGAAGCTACAGTTTTCATCCGATTCTGATGAAACTTGTTGTGATCTTTAGAATTCATAAGATCTCGGACAAGTTCTAACTTGACGCATTTTCGATGAACAGTTTTTGAGTTATTGCCCTTGACTTTGTTAAAACGCGTCAAAATTTGTTAAAAATAGTTCGTGATCTGGATTGAAGCTACAGTTTTCAACCAATTCTGATGAAACTTGGTGTGATCATTGGAATTGATAAGATCTCGGACAAGTTCTAACTTGACGCATTAATTTCTTCAATATGAGAAAATTCGTACTTTAGTCACTAAAGACTGTTTTATTATTTCTGACAGCTGCCAGTGGGCGTATGTTACCTTGCAATGCAAGCTATCTTTTGATCTTGATGAAACTGGGTATGCATGTATATTGATGACGTCTAAGTCGTGTTTGAAATTGGTTACAATAGGATGAACGGTTTCAGAGTTAATGCCCTTTATCTTGATGAAACTTGGTATCCATGTTTATATTGATGAGATCTCAGTCAAGTACGAAATTGATAATAATGGGATGAACAGTTGCAGAGTTTTTGACCTTGTGTGTATGTCGATGAGACATTGTTCATGATGATAATTTGATGAACTTTTATTGAGAATTCACTTTTAGGCCATTAAAGACTTTATCATTGCTGTTATCAGTGGACGTATGTTACCTGGCAAGCTATTGTTTTCAATTTCTTTAGAAGTTTTTTTGTTTTCAAATTCCATCACACGATGTGCCAAAAATAGTGCATGTGTTGCCAATTGAAAATCCATCTAGATATATATACTGTTTTAAACACAACAGATTTATTTAATGAAGAAGTTCCAAAATTTGTGCATTTTCATAAAAAATGCTTTTTTCGATTCTTCATATTCTTAGAATGAAATTAGAAAGCATGAAAAATGGCATGAAAGCATGTTGATTTTATAAATCAAAACATTATAAAAAGATTAATCAAATGCTTTCTCCTTTCTAACGACATCACTAGATGGTGTTAATATTTTTACAGGTAAAAATGACATGCAATCTAAATTAGATCATGCCATGCATGACGTCAATGATAAATATAAGTTATTGGAGGAAACAGAAAAGAATGCATTACGTACAGCATTAATAGAGGAAAGAGGGAGATTTTGTTTGTTTATTAGCTGTATCAAACCATTTGTGGTAGGTAAAATATTAAAAGTTGTCTTTGTTTATTTTTCTTGGTCAAATCATTGCTTATTGTTTGATTAATTGATGTTTCTAAAGAATAAATCAAGTACTCTTGAGTGCTAAGATTGTGTGAGGATGTAGAAAAGCTTGGGAATTAAATTTCCTGAAATTCGATTGAAAAAGCTAAAAATAGATTCCTTGTTTACTCACTTACTAAAATAGATTGTGATAATCTAGCCACATTTTCGTATAAAAAATTATTAACCAAACCATGTTTAAAAGACATATTTGTAAGTTAGAAATAATGTAATTAAACACAATGTGTATTTAGAAAATAACAAAAAACATCGTCTCTTTTCCCTATTTTGGAGACATAACCATTGAAATTTAAAAATTTTCGTTTGGTATTCGGCTGTGAAAAGGCACACATAGAGTTACCTCCCTTATGGAAATTGTGAGACCTGATAATCTTTATTAAGTGGCCGCTTGATCATTGGAATCCCCTTGTCTTTACCTAATTATGAGTTCATTATTGACTTCTGAGACAAACTGGTATTTTTCCCCAATTGTTAGAACACCTGCTTTCGATTTATATAAATATTAGCCGTCCAATAATGGAATATATATATAAACTAGAACTGTTCTAATAACAGTACTGATGCAGGGCGTGTTACGACATTCAGGTACATAAGAAGATGGTCTATTGCAATTACATTGACCTAAATACTTTTCTGCATCTCTAGATTCAAATATCCAAATGTGCCTAGAGTTTAATGTATATTGACTAGGAATATTAATATTGTTTTATATTTAATTGAATTACAATCTCACACTTCCAGGTGTTTTTCAAATTCCTAATGATTGTTAGGAAGGAAGCTACAATTACTGTATTCTCAGTATTTGTACCAACAATATTTTCAATATTGTCAATTAATAAAGACCAAGTTTGATGAAATCCGGATAAGAAATAAGAAATTTGGTAATGCGCATGTGCACAATAAAAATTCAATATATCCATCAATTATAGAATTGGATTATACACCTATATACAAAGTTTGATGAAATTTGGACAAGAAATAAGAAACTTGGTAATGCGCATGTGCGCAACAAAAATTCAATATTTCCATCAAATTTAGAATTGGATTACACACATACATACCAGGTTTGATGAAAATTGGATTAGCAATAAGAAAGTTGGTAATGTGCATGCGCACAACAAGAATTCAATATTTCCATCAAATTTAGAATTTGATTATACACATAATTCCAAGTTTGATGAATATCGGATAATAAATAAGAAAGTTGGCAATACGCATGCGCACTACGCAAATTCGATTTATCCGTCAAATTTTGAATTGGATTTACACATACATACCATGTATGGTGAAATGTGGATAAGAAAAAAGAAAGTGGGGGTATACCTTCAATATGCTGCCGTGAGCTCAAACTACAGTATATCATGATTTAATTCAACCGAGAGCTTATTAATTATATACCATAACTGGACATAAAACAATTTTTAAGAAATATAAAAGGGAAGGTGTCTTTAAAACAACTTAAACTTTGATTTCTATTGGGGTTGACAGCCGGGTTAATCTAATTAGTCGATTTATCTAATAATAACCCCATTATAAGTGAATGGAGTTTTGAATTTGCATGTAAGGCATGCTTGTTATATAATAATGGAAAGCTGAGAATTTCTACATTACAAAATCGAAAGAATTATTGCGATATCTCTATAAGGGACCAAGATGTAGCATGTTAAAGGCTCAAAATGGTCCATATTTAGACCCCTGTAAAATCGGAAATAGGTGAAGGTCAGCAAACATGTTACTTCCGGTACGAATTTTTTTATTTTAAAAAGTTTGTATTAAGGCTGGTAATATAATGCATATGTTACTTTTGACATAAATCAATTCCACCGGAAGTGACGCCACCAGAAGTACTTACATCGAAACCGGAAGTGATGACAATTTTTTGAATGTGTGCTATCATTCCACTTTGCTTGCTGTCTACACCTTGCAAGTTTCAAGTCAATCCACCAAATGACAACCGAAATAGTATTTTTCGATTAATTGCGGCAAAAAAAAGTATGCAACTAATTTTTCGAAAATCAAAGGTTTTTAACTGCTATCATTTGCCCTTTGTTACAAGAAAAACAATGAAAAAAACCCGATCAAAATCGGTTGATAAACATGCCCTCTAGAGGCCATTTTCCGTTTGTCGCTAACGTCGCTTCATGTTGCTCAGAAAATTTTCTTTTTACATTCATTCCACAATCCTCCACAGGTTAGAAAACATGGTGAAATCCGTTTGCCGTACCCGTTGCCGTTTCCGAGAACTAAGCTCCTGGGATGAAGAAAAAAATAAATAAACTAGAGCCACAAGTGGCACAGAGTGGGACTTAGCAAATGTAGCAAATTGCAAAAGTCCCTGAAAACATCAACCTTCCACGATAATTAGATCAAGCGCAAGAACAGTCTAAAGTTGAGAAATGTTTATTTTTTAGGAGATTCTAATACCGGAAGTAGACGTCAGACCTCACAAATGAAAGTATCAGCAGATAGCCAAGGTCAATGACCTTTGATCTTGTAAAGGAGAAGGTCTAAAAAGGTCAAGATCAAGAGATATACGCCATTAAAAATTCAAATTGCTAACGACTATACAACCGGAAGTTGACATAGGACAGCAAATATAAAAGTATAAATAGATAGCTAATGCCAATGATGTTTGATCCTACAAAGGTCAAGGTCAAAATTAAAAATTTTGAATTTCCAAAACCTGTTCCTTTTTTTGAACTATGAATTGGAAACAACGGAAATTCTAAGACAAAGTGTCTCAAAATATGAGGTAATTGTGTAAAAAGTTCCATTTTAAACAAATGTGTACTTTGCGAGTTATGCCCCTGGCCAAAAATGTCAATAATAAGTAATTTAACCCGGATGTGCCCCGCCCACCTCAATTTTTTTTGCATAGGTTAATTGATATTCAAAATGTTACGTTATGTTCCAAATGTCAACCTCCTACATAATACAGGTCAAAAGATATAGGTCAACAAATGTCAACAAAGGTCAAAATCGAAAAATGAAAATATCCAAATGTAAAAAACCCATTCCTTTTTTGGAACTATAAAGCTGAAACAACTGAGCTGTTAACACAAACTGGCCAAAAGATGAGGTAATTGTGTGCAAAGGCCCTTTTTGAACAAACGCATCCTATGCGAATTATGCCCCTGCCTCTAAATATAAACAATTGGTAATTCAACCCGGATGTGCCACGCCCACATAAGTTTTTTGGTCATAGGTGAATTCATATTCAAAGTGTGTAGTTGTATTCCAAATATCAAGGTTCTACATCAAATAGATCATAAGATATACATACACCAAGCTCAAAAAGACGCAAATATTGTAAAAAAAACCTCAAAATTTGAAAAAATCACGAATTTCAATTTTGCTTAAAAAAAACGATTGTTATATATCTATGTAAAGTGCATGAGAAGCACATTAGGAAACCGAAAAAATTAACCCTCTAGGTTAATTAGGTCACGCGCAAGAGCAGTCCAAAGTTGCGAATTTGGCTTTTTACGGATAGCTATAAAACCGGAAGTACATGTCGGAGGTCAAAGGTCAAAGTATCAAATGATAGCCAAGGTCAATGACATCAAAGGTCAAGGTCACATAGTGTGGGTGATTCAAGTTGGAAAAAAATTTAACCGGAAGTTGCAAAAAAGCAAAAGCGAAATTCAAAATTCAGCTCCCAACGATTTTTGCGCAATCGATTGCGGAATACATTCACTTCAAAATTGAGCATATCAATATTTACCCTGAGGCCCCATTTTGAGTTTTACAAAAGTGTGTTTTTTCAATATGGCCGCCAAAGTATCACTTCCGGTCTAGATTTTATTTTAAAATCGGCCATAAAATTTTATTTGCTAATGACCGGCTAAGTTTTGTTGACCTACATAAATTACACCGGAAGTTATTCAACCGGAAGTAGATTTGAAGTTCAGTCACTTCCCTCTTTAAAAGCGGAAATGATGTACAAAATTTGACTGTACCATAAAAAAAAAAAAAAAAGAATTGACATTTCGATAACACAAAAAAAAGAATTGACATTTCGATAACACAATAACACAATAAACAGTTTGAAATTGAACGCACTGCAATAAATGAAAATAAGGGAAGTGAACTTAAATAATAATTGTGTCTTAAAACAGGGTAAAAATTACTTTTTATACGCCCACATGAATATGTGGTCGTATATTGTCGTGGCCCCTGTCAGTCGGTCAACATTTCTTGTGAGCACTATAGAGACTACAGTTTTTATCTGATTTTGATAAAACTTGGTGTGATGCTTTAGATTGATAAGATCTCGGTCAACTTCGAATTTGACATATTTTCGATAAACGGTTTTAGAGATATTGCCCTTGACTTAAAATGCCTTGAAATTTGTTAAAAATTGTTCGTGAGCAGGATTGAAGCTACAGTTTTCATCCGATACTGATAAAACTTTACATATTTTCGATGAATGGTTTTTGAGTTATTGCCCTTGACTTTGTTAAAAGGCGTCGAAATTTGATAAAAATAGTTCAAGAGCAGGATTGAGCTACAGTTTTCAACCGTTTCTGATGAAACTTGGCATAGTCATTGGAATTGATGAGATATCGGACAAGTTCTAACTTGACGCATTTGCGATGAATGGTTTTTGAGTTATTGCCCTTGACTTTGGTAAAACGCATCGAAATTTGTTAAAAATAGTTCGTGAGCAGGATTGAAGCTACAGTTCTCAACCGATTCTGATGAAACTTGGTGTGATCATTGAAATTGATAAGATCTCGGACAAGTTCTTACTTGAAGCGTTTTCGATGAATGGTTTTTGAGTTATTGCCCTTGACTTTGTAAACACGCGTCAAAAGTCGTTTTTTGCCCTTGATTAGAGCTGTTTGATTTTATTGTTTGTTGTATTTGGGATATTGATATTGATTTTAAAAAACTTTGTGGAATTGTGAACTATTTTTTAGTTATTGCCCATTTTTGATGAATGGTTTTTGAGTTATTGCCCTTGACTTTGTTAAAACGCATCGAAATTTGTTAAAAATAGTTCGTGAGCACTATAGAAGCTACAGTTTTCAGCCGATTCTGATGAAACTTGGTGTGATCATTGAAATTGATAAGATCTCGGACAAGTTCTAATTTAAGGCATTTTCAATGAACACTATCAGAGTTAATGCCCTTGACTTTGTAAACACGCGTCAAAAGTCGTTTTTTGCCCTTGATTAGAGCTGTGTGATTTAATTGTTTGTTGTATTTGGGATATTGATATTGATTTTAAAAAACTTTGTGGAATTACTCAGCATAAATAACTGGCATATATATATATAATTGAATTCAAACTAATAAAATTTCTTCGATATGAGAAAATTCGTACTTTAGTCACTAAAGACTGTTTTATCATTTCTGACAGCTGCCAGTGGTTATATGTTACCTTGCCTCGCAAGCTATTTTTTTTATTTGCATAGCAGTTTTTTTGTTCTATGAGTTGAATTTGCATAGCAGTTTAAAATTTTGTATAGCAATTTCTTCTGTGATAGTTAAAATTGTGAAGCACTTTTTTTTTTAAAGATGTAGGAAGAGTATGTTTATTAAAAGTTATGATTAGTATCATTAAAAAACTTTGATTCTTGAATTGTAATTGTAATACAAAATATATATTTAAAAGAAGAAGCCTTTCTTTAACCTCAAATGCATTTTAATCACCATGCAATGTCCGTTCTTTTTGACCCTCAGGTAAATCTTTGTAATACTATGTTGAATGAAATTAGTAACAATCGGATGATTGGTTCACATATTAAACCACTACAGACTTTAACATTTCCGACAGCTAGTTGTGGGCGAATGTTGCCTGGCAAGCTGTCTTTATAGGCTTCCAGTACTTTGCGAAATCTGCACTTTGCGAAACGAAACGAAATATAAGCACTTTACGAAATATTTATTTCTAGGGATGCCTTGAAAAACCTTGATTTCAAAAAACACCATAAAAAAACCATTTTCTCTTGAAAAGTCCTTGAATTTTGAGTTGAGTCAAATTGTGTATATTTTTAACAATTTAATAAGCAGACATTTTTATCTGAGTAAGATTTATCAACAGAACAGCCGTTACTGAAAATAATAAACGTTGACTTGGAAGTATTCAATATAGATTACATAGTGGGGGTTATGAGCAACAGCCTTGGGTCATGTAGTCTCGTTTGTCATCTATTATATCTACTATCTCCACACACCATGTTGATCGATTGATTATTATGTTACTCTTTATTTAACTTGTAAGGTTACGTCTCGCGATGTTTATCGACTTAAATTGATACCATGCTTTTTATTTTTCACTGTATTTGATCAATACCTAATTATACGAGAATTTTAGTGATTTTTTTCGCTATTTTGGCAGAATGACCTGTTCGAAAAAAAGTAATATTTCAGAGCTGGGCCCACTGGGAAATGGTCTCCTTGGTAACATGTACCTCTTGATCGCTGCCATTGTTCTAATCTAAGTTTATCGCTATGTCCAGAAAATGTACTTTTAACCGATCGTGGTTACAAATGAGTGAATTTAGTAAATGGAGGTTAAAGATAACCGAAACCATGCTCGCTGTTCAGTTTGTAACAAAACTATAAACCTGGCAAAAATGGGACAAGCAGCTCTGAAATCTCACATGAGTAGTGAAAAACACGTCAGTTTGATGAAGTCAATGGAAGGACAGATAATGGCAGTGTCTTCAAATGTCGGTGGCGGTGACAATCCCTACCGATCAAAACCTAGTTTACAACCGATGAATCCTCTTCAACGCAGGTCAAGTAGCGATGTGACAAGTTACGTGCATACACATGTTATGGAGACAAGAGAACCAAACTTCCTGATGATTTGCAAATACACACACATCTTCAGGCAAAGAACAGATTAACCCAATACGTTTTGTTATTATTTTTATTATTTCAATCTGGTACGAGTCGCTTAGAATAAAACAGTTATAAAGATTGTATTACTTTTTATTAACTCTCCTCTAACTGGCAGTTTGTGTCTTCTTTCCTGTCAATCAGCTTCATTGAGACAATAGTTTTATACCAGTTGTGGAACCAGTACACTGATTCTCGGCGACTTTTTGACTCCTTTTATAATCTTTAGTAATTAACAGGGTAACAAACGGTTATTGCCAACGATTACCCGGTCCGTAAAATTCACTAACCGTTTCAACACTAGTATCGACATTAATTTGATCAACATAAACCTTTGGACCCACTGCATTTTTCTTAGCTTAGGCAATTAGAACGATCATCATTTAATGAAGCCATAATGGATTCCTACCATGAGAAGAATGTTGGAATGTTACTAAGCAACTATCAAGGAAAGTGACATCATTGAACTTCAACTGACATCTCATGTGTGTCTGTCCCTGAGGAAGGGGGCCTCTGTGCTCTTGAAACATGTTGGACTATAGGACTACTTAGTTTTTTTCTATAGCAGACTATTTTTTGAATGTTAACACATAAAATTGGGGTAGTATATTGTTGTCACCCATGTCCGTCCGTCTGTCCACAATTTCTCGTAAACACACTAGAGAGCACAATTCTTGACTGATTCTGGCATGATTGTATGTAATCACCCAAGGATGAACCCTGTAGAAAAACAGAAAAATCGAAAAAATATTTAGTATGAGTTATTGCACTTGTTCTTGAAATGCTCGTAATCACTCTAGAAGGTGCAATTCTTGACGGATTTTGATGAAACTTCGTGTGAGCGTTTGCTATCACCCAAGGATGAAGGCTATTGAAAACCAGAAGAATCGAAAAATATTTAGTTTCAGTTATTACCCATGTTCGCGTTCAAGTTTTAGCCTGTAAACACTCTAGGACAATTCTTGACAGATTTTGACGAAACTTGGAAATATTATACAGTATCGCCCAAAAAAGTTCAAAAGAAGTGTATGTCTGAAGGTTGAATATTTCATACTTTCAACGGAGCAGACACTAATGGCTGCCCTCTGTATCTCTGATATGTTTAGTTAAAATTAACTAGTTTATCCTGTGTTTTGAATATAACAAGTTGTACCAGTGCCTTGTTAAAGAATTGGAGATTCCATATTTGTGACTTGGATGGTAAAATTGTTTATATTCTGAATTTAATTTTGGTTTAAAAATATTTTACTGAACTAAATAGTGACTAATGAAGCATGAAATCATTGATTTTTACAGAGCTATCAATTTTGTTACTATCTTTACCACAGTGCTTTCTACTCACTATGTTCACTTACTCTAGAGATCAACTTTTATCTAAAAAAGATATGACCAGCCTCCTTCTTTTCTGAAACTGCCCCCTACTGTACAGACTTTTGAGCCTCCTGGTTAGATTCTTGCCTGCTAACCTGAAGGTCCAGGGTTCAATCCCAGCATAGATCGAGATAATACCTTCATTAGCCAACATGGTGCAGAAAAATTTAATTATTTTTTAGTCAAACAAAGCTGCTGTCTGGTTAGTTATTGTCTTTGATACTATACCTTACCTTTACCTTCTAATTTGACGAGTCTTGAAATATAATCCCCCCATAATTCTTTCAGAAGTTATAATGATGATAATTGTCATTTTCTTATTGGATTTTTTTCCAGGATAATGAAGTAGCATTATTAACAGAAATAACACACCTTCAAGAGATTATGCATAGTTTATGTCAACAAGCCAGTGATCCCCATAATTTACCAGAAGCTAGTGAACAGGTCATTACTGATATTAAAGGCATTGATGCTGCTACTTTTAATTTAAAGGGAAAAAATCATGTAAGTCCATGTGACCAAATTGACGAAATTAGCTATGTAGACTCTCTGAGTCAAAAAACCCACTCATAGAGTGTCATCAAGCTTCACAGATGAGTATGTCGCCAGACAACCTTGTCTCAATACTTATCACAGTGAGCAAGTGATCTTGATAACCTTCACGTGGATGTTTTGAGTGCTCTAAGAGTAAATTGAAAATTAAGGTGGAAATTATATTTTCTTTCAGCACAAACGTGTAAAATTGAAGAGATGTAACTTTAACTATGTCTGGTACCCTTGTTTTGTAAATTCAGTTTGGATAAACTATAAATAAGTGTAAATGTGTCCATATCTTAACCATATTCAGAGTGACCACTTTAAATCTATGCCATATTTGTTCATTTTTACTTTTTGGTTGATTTGAAAGCTTGTAAAAGCACGAATCTTGTGATCAAAACCTCTTATTCTTTTCTTGATGGATTGTAAATAATCTAAAATCAGCAATTAAATAACACATATATTAACAGTCGGTTTTAAAAACTTGTAAAAGATTTTTTTTCTGAAAACAGAAAATCCTCATATAATGTACTATAATACAAGTTATTGAGTGAATAGATCAGAATACAAGAATTATATGAGGTTTAAGTTGTCAATCATGAAAACCATGCATAGAAACGCTCTATCCAGACATAGTTTGAGATAATACCTTCAAATTTTCATTTATTCCTGCCAGGGCTAATAGTCTCTGAACAATGAGTGGTACACTTGTCTTTAATTATACGATCATTAGAAATGTAATTAGCAAATAGACAGGTAGGGGTTTTTCATAAGCTACTGTATAATATGATTGCAGGGACAGATTCATACCATTATAAGAGTTATGGTGGATATATTATATTTTAAATCAATTATATTTCATACCATTTTCTGTTTGCATATCTACTTAAAATGTAATTTTTTTCAGCAACACTCGCCTCCCAGTTCCCCAAGTTCACTGGGATCACGCAAATCAAGCATGTGTAGTATTAGTAGCATCAACAGTTCCTCAAGTGGTTCATTAAAATCTCAATCACCAAGCCATAGTTTACGAGCTAGAAATGTTTCACAGGTATAGTATAAATGCATACTGTTGACCCCTATCCATCTACAAATGGCGTCAGAACACAATGGAGGCTACACTTTGGATTTCATTTACATAACATTAAAAATTTAAGGGCCAATTTTAGGGCGAAAATTAAGAAATTTTAGAGCTGAATTAACTAAGTCGGAGCAGTTTAAGATATTTAAATGAATTACTTGAGCACATTTGACACTAAAGGAACTGTCAAAAACACTTGAGCATCATGCTCTCGCATTTTGTTGTGAGTTCGGAGGTGAGAATTCCCCCAGGAAAATTAAAAAAGATAGGTTTGATAGGTTTGATTTGCATGTATCTGAGGCCATTCCCGACAGCATTCTTGTTGAGATAGGAAATGACATCAGAAAAAGTAAAAAAATAAATCGTCAAGTCGACTTGTAATAAAATCAATAGTATTAGAGTATATGTAGCTTCTTTTCGGGACTAATCTCTTTATCAAGCGAAAAGAAAACAAAAATGAACAGTAGGCAAGAAAGGTACTATCTCCACGAAGAACAACACTAATCTGACAAGAACATTCAGCTTACTCAGATGAACAAGAAAATATTTTTTTAATGAAATAAAAAAATATGGCTCACAGAAACATGAAAGAATAACAAGATAATGAGATCAAAGAGTTTAAAAAGTTGGACAGAAACTAGAAAGGGTACATGAAAGGAGTGTCATAAATGAAATGATCAAAAAAGGTAAAAATTTTGGGAAGACATTAAAAAATTAGGGCTATTGCTTTTTTAGAATTTTTCCTTGGATTTCAGAAGTTTTAAAGGGATTTTAGCAAAACTATAAAAAAAAATAGGATTTCTATAGGAAATTTAAGGGCCCTGGACAGCCTGAACTTGGTATGCTTATGTACAGTCAAGCTTCTAGGAATAATATTTTTTGAACCAATTTTATGGCAAACCATTTTATGTAGTCACATACATAATAATATTGTTACAAATATATTAGTAATTTTCTAAAATTTAGTGAAGGATTAAGGTAAAACTTGAGACAATTTGTGTAGGCCAATGTAATCACAAGAATGAAAAATGTAAGACCAAAAAATACTTTTAACAGAAAATATATATTTCTCAATCATGATTATGGGGGATATTGCCCTGAAGTCTTAAGTACAAGATATGCCTTGGCATAATATATCACCTTACAGATTAAATCTTCATTAAGCAACACCCTTAATTAATCTGTTTTACTTCATATTGAAGAGACCTAAATTTCAAGTGAACACATTGGAGAATATGGTATTATTAATAGGATTTTGATAAAACTTTGATAAGTTTTCATTCTAATGACTTTTTCAAAATAGTGGGCGAATAGTTGAATTTGGAAAAATTACAGTAACACAGTAGGCTTTAAATCACAGTTTTGATTGGATTGTGTCCGTCCGTCCATAATTGCTTGTAAACACTCTACAAGGCACAATTCTTGACTGATTTTGACGAAACTTGGTATGGTTGTTTGTCATCACCCAAGGATGAATCCTATTGAAAATCAGAAAAATTGAAAAATATTTAGTATGAGTTATTGCCCTTGTTCTTGAAAACGCATTCAATTTTTAGCTCGTAAACACGCTTTTAGGAACATTATCTTTGATATTTTCAATTATTGAAGTTGTCCATAAATGACTGATGACTGACTGATGGGATATCCATCAATACTTTAATAATTGATGTCCTACATCCACGTCATCAACTTCACACAAATACACATAAAAAATATTGGATTAGCAAGAGTGTCGGAGTACTCTGAGTTTCGACATTTTTTAACCTGGCCACGTGTTACTATTTATAGCTCAGTGACCCACATTCTACAAACGGTATACCTTTCTAATAATAAGACAATAATAAAAGACAATTCAGTGGAATACGTTACTATTATTTAATTGTGCATATTTTGTTAATAACGGGATGAACGGTTTCTGGATTATTGCCTTGACTTAGTAAAAACTTGTCAAATTCGGCTCGCAGACACGATAGACTACAGTTTTTATCCAATCTTAATGAAATTAGATATGCTTGTGTATATTAATGAGATCTCGGTCAAGTTAGAAATTGGTAATAATCGGATGAACAGTTTCAGAGTTATTGCCCTTAGGTGTACAGCGATGAGACATTGTTCATGTTTGAATATTCTCGATAAAACTGTAGATAAAATGCAGATATATTAATAAGCATCTGCTTCTCGTTTTGTTTATCCCAATCAGTAGCGGAAAAAATATTGGCACAAATAGGAATTAGCCCATATGAGCAACGGATATACAATATTATTGATGTAAGGTTATAAGCAGAACTTGCCAATAATCGGAATTGTACTAATTACAGTGTATTTTTTTATTTTGTTAATATCCAGTTGATTTAATTAATCTTCCCAATTTCTCCAGATTTAAGAATTTTAATTTCTTGTTCAGTAATGGAAGGCTGTTTCTAATCTCATAAAATTATTTCCTTAACACACCGCTAGGGTGAATCCACGCCATTATGAACATACATAATAATTATGTCAGCATTGAAAAATAGCAATCATTTCACTTGTTCACAAATTGTAGGCTTAAAGCACCAGAGTTGAAAGCTAACAGGCTGGAAGTTTCAAAAGGTCCAAAAGCGATGGGATAAGGTCTTGTTGCCAGACTGGGAGTTGTTCACAGTTGTGGTCTTCAAATTGTTATAGGTCACAAAATTAATAATGATATTATGTATGATAGTTTAGCCTTATTTTAGATCCAAAAATCGGCAACCTAATATATTCATTTATTGAGATTCAAGATCGTTACTTTTCAGTCAAATCTTTTTTTGTTGTATGGACAATTCTTGCTTAGATATCAAAATGATTTTTTTTCCGAATATCTTAAAACTTGAATGGTTTTAAACTCATACAAACCTAATCAAACTCAACATTACATATGTGTGGTTGAACAAGAAGTTTAAAATTTACTCTATAATTGTAGAATAACATTGCACCAGACAAAAATAGCACAGATAATGACAGTGTTGACACACCCGAAGATGAGACACCAACAACTCCAAATGCCAGTACACCATCGGCTAAATCAACATGGAACAATTGGCCCAATCAGCCAAGTCAGTCACCAGCTAAACTTGATCCAAATCGTCCTCACACAATTTCTTCTGCCTATGAAAAATCTCAAAATCGACCAGCCTTAACTAAAGAACTTTTTGAACCATTACCAGAAGCAATGGTAGAACTTCGCCACGATCCCAAGAAAGGTCAATCACATCAAAACAGTTCAACATCACCATATGCCAGACCTAATTCAGCTACTATCAATAAAATGCAGCCTGTTCTACCACCATTGGGTCCTAAACCAAGACCTAAAGCTGTTTCATGCCCTAAAGTTCCGAGGGGTAAGTTTTGGCTTATCAATTTAAATTTTGTTGTCAAAATTATTGAAGTATTCAATCTCAGTGACATTTGTGTTTCACTTTGTAAATGTTAATTGTGCTTCCATTATTATTTACTTACGTGATCCTTACTTTTATGCCCATTTAATATTGATATACTGACTCAAATTTAAGTACTGTGCCAAATGAAATATTCTGCATTTATTTAATATATTCACGGTTTGGAGAATCCATATTTGAGAAATTAACATATTTAAAGATGAAGCAAAAAGTATCAGGCTCGTTTGTATAGTATGTATAGTCTTGAATACACCAGTCACTAAAATAGAAAATAAATTAGAAATTATTTTTCAAATTCAAATTTATTTTTTCTAATTCAAAATTAAAATTTCAACATTAAAATTTCTAATTCAAAATTATTTTTTCAAATTCAAATTATTTTTTCAAATTCAAATTCAAAATTAGTCTTTCAAATTCAAAATTATTTAAATAAAAGTTGGTGGTGTGAGTGTAAACCGCTCACAAAAAAAAATTCTATATTTCCATCAATTTTAGAATTGAATTATACACATACATAGCAAGTTTGATGAAATTCAGGCAAGAAATAAGAAAGTTGGTAATGCATGTGCACAACAAAAATTCAATATTTCCACTAAATCTAGAATTGGATTATACACATACATACCAAGTTTGATGAAAATGGAATAAAAAATTAGAAAGTTGGTAATGCGCATATAAGAATTTTTGCCAAATGCCAAATTTTTATCTGATCTTGATGAAACTTAGTATGCATGTATACAATGTTGAGATCTCGGTCAAGTTCGAAATGGGTAATAATCTGAATAATCGGTAATAATCAGAGTTATTTTGCCTTGACTGAAAAAGGCGTCAAATTTGGCTTGTATGCACGATAAAGGCTGCAATTTTTATCTGATCTTGATGAAACTTAGTATGCATGTATACAATGTTGAGATCTCAGTCAAGTTCGAAATGGGTAATAATCGGAATAATCGGTAATAATCAGAGTTATTTTGCCTTGACTGAAAAAGGCGTCAAATTTGGCTTGTATGCACGATAAAGGCTGCAATTTTTATCTGATCTTGATTAAATAAGTATGCATGTATATATATATATGGATGAGATCTTGCCCCTGTTCTTGAAACACTTGTAAACACTCTAGAAGGCGCAATTCTTGACATATTTAGATGAAACTTGGTGTGTGTGTTTGTTATCACTCAAGAATGAACTGTATTGAAAATTATAAAAATCGAAAATTAATAAGTATGAGTTGGTGCCCTTGTTCTTGAAAAAGCATTCAATTTTAGCCCATAAACACTCTACAAAGCCAAGTTCTCAGCAGATTTTGACAAAACTTTTTATGAGCGTTTGTTATCAACCTTGCGTGGCAAGCTATCTATAAAAACGCATTGAAATTTTAATTGAACTATAAAGAGCTGGTTTTTGATAAGATTTGGTTTCAGTGTTTGCTATTACCTAAGGATGAACCCTATTGAAAATCAGACAAGTTGAAAAATATTTGATATGAGTTACTGCCCTTGTTCTTGAAAACTTGTTCAATTTTTAACTTCTGATAGAACGAACCATTCTTGACAGATTCAG